GAAGAGAAGGGCTGCACTGGCTGGCCATAGAGGCCTGGGTTTTTCAACCTCGGGCTGTCTGGCTTTTATTAACGTACTGGCCAGTTCTTGAAGTTGAAATAAGTACTGAACTAAGAATATAGATGGTGGAGATCATCAGAAAGTACAAGCTGGAGATCATCAGCTGGATATACTTCTAAAGAACTGGTGAATGTTCTAACACAAATGTAGTCTAACTAGTCTAACTGTTAGCATTGTAAAACTGGCATTGAATTTTACATTTTAACTTGCTAGAATGTAAGACTTCAGTTTGTGCTTACAAAAATAAATAATATCATGCTCTAGCTACATGTGATAATAATTCCGTGCAGGTCAGTAACGTGAACAAGCATGAATACGTTTAGCTGTAGAAAAAGCTGGGTATCTAGAGAGAATAGTGTCTTCACCACCAGGAGGTCAGTAAGCGTTTTCAAGCAAGAACTGTTAAACAAGCAGAAATAATGTAGTCCATGTAAACAAGCAGAAACAATGTAGTCAATGTAAACAAGCAGAAACAATGTAGTCCATGTAAACAACCAGAAACAATGTAGTCCATGTAAACAAGCAAAAACAATGTAGTCAATGTAACCAAGCAGAAACAATGTTGTCCATGTAAACAAGCAGAAACAATGTAGTCAATATAAACAAGCAGAAACAATGTAGTCCATGTAAACAAGCAAAAACAATGTAGTCAATGTAAACAAGCAGAAACAATGTAGTCAATGTAAACAAGCAGAAACAATGTAGTCCATGTAAACAACCAGAAACAATGTAGTCCATGTAAACAAGCAAAAACAATGTAGTCAATGTAAACAAGCAGAAACAATGTTGTCCATGTAAACAAGCAGAAACAATGTAGTCAATATAAACAAGCAGAAACAATGTAGTCCATGTAAACAAGCAAAAACAATGTAGTCAATGTAAACAAGCAGAAACAATGTAGTCAATGTAAACAAGCAGAAACAATGTAGTCCATGTAAAAAACCAGAAACAATGTAGTCCATGTAAACAACCAGAAACAATGTAGTCCATGTAAACAACCAGAAACAATGTAGTCCATGTAAACAAGCAGAAACAATGTAGTCTATGTAAACAAGCAGAAACAATGTGGTCCATGTAAACAACCAGGAACAATGTAGTCCATGTAAACAAGCAAAAACAATGTAGTCAATGTAAACAAGCAGAAACAATGTTGTCCATGTAAACAAGCAGAAACAATGTAGTCAATATAAACAAGCAGAAACAATGTAGTCCATGTAAACAAGCAAAAACAATGTAGTCAATGTAAACAAGCAGAAACAATGTAGTCAATGTAAACAAGCAGAAACAATGTAGTCAATGTAAACAAGCAGAAACAATGTAGTCCATGTAAAAAACCAGAAACAATGTAGTCCATGTAAACAACCAGAAACAATGTAGTCCATGTAAACAACCAGAAACAATGTAGTCCATGTAAACAAGCAGAAACAATGTAGTCCATGTAAACAACCAGAAACAATGTAGTCCATGTAAACAACCAGAAACAATGTAGTCCATGTAAACAACCAGAAACAATGTAGTCCATGTAAACAACCAGAAACAATGTAGTCCATGTAAACAACCAGAAACAATGTAGTCCATGTAAACAACCAGAAACAATGTAGTCCATGTAAACAACCAGAAACAATGTAGTCCATGTAAAAAACCAGAAACAATGTAGTCCATGTAAACAACCAGAAACAATGTAGTCCATGTAAACAACCAGAAACAATGTAGTCCATGTAAACAACCAGAAACAATGTAGTCCATGTAAAAAACCAGAAACAATGTAGTCCATGTAAACAACCAGAAACAATGTAGTCCATGTAAACAACCAGAAACAATGTAGTCCATGTAAACAACCAGAAACAATGTAGTCCATGTAAACAACCAGAAACAATGTAGTCCATGTAAACAACCAGAAACAATGTAGTCCATGTAAACAACCAGAAACAATGTAGTTCATGTAAACAACCAGAAACAATGTAGTCCATGTAAACAACCAGAAACAATGTATGTTTTGAATCGTTCCTTATTTTTCTTTTAGTTGAATTTTCTTTATCATTTTTTACAAATCTTATATCAACTCACTCTGTCTGTCTGGTCAAAAGTTTGTATACGTTAGTTCTTTCACACCCAATATAGGATCAAGCAGAAATTTTACACAATTTTTTTGTACCTGACAACACCAAAAAAATAAAAAAATAAAAATAAACAATTAGTTAATTGATTATAGGAAATTATTTTTTTGGTATCTCAAATAAGGAATAAAATTGTACTTGACTGAAGTGGTTGTATAAATTGAATCAGTCCCTTTATAGATCGTCGTCTGAAGCTTAGTGAACACAGAAATCAAATAGAAACAATGGATACAATATTCCATGTTCATACGCTCTTAGCTGGCTTGAGAAGACTTTAGACCACGAGTTCAAATGCAGGTAGTTTACTTTTTTTAAATAGATACATTAAATAAAACGATCACCCAGATACCTCGTTGTTTCTCCCCCCCCCCCCGCCCCCCCAATTCCAACTGGTCCAGAAAAGTGATTGGATCACAGCGTATTAAGAAATCTAAAAGCATGAAATTGCGCTCAACAAAACAATGGGCAATACAAGCAATAGAAGAAAAAAAAGAAACCTTTTAAAAATCAAAGCTTATCTATGGGAAAGAATCGTTAATCACAGTCATTTATCTGAAAATTGCAGGGTTTAGCTCCCTTTCAGTTATAAAAAAAATACAAATCTATTAATTAGTACTAATTGATATCTAATAGACTAATGTTTTGATTGATTCGTGTCTTGCTATCGACCATGAATAATTCTGCAAAATTTTAACTTGATCCGAGAATGGCAAGTGGGAGGAAAAACGTGTCAAAACGTAATAACGAAATTACATCCATATATACATCCACGTGTCTCATTAAGTAGCATTTATTCCCATTATTTCAACATTAACAAAAGAATTAATCACCAACAATTAATTAACTAATTTGTATTTTTTTAAATTGATTAATGTCTTGTCAGCTGCAATGAATAAGTGTGTGCAAGGTTTCAAATTGATCCGAGAATGGACAGTGGGAGGAAAAAACTTTTTACCAGACAGACAGACAGAGTGAGTTGATTTAAGCTTTGTAAATATTTCTACTCGCACAGATGTATTATTGTTTGTCGAGATCTATTACAAATTTAATTACATGATTGATCCAAACTAATTGATACTTCAAGTAAGTTTTGTTTTTAAAAAGTATTTTTTATATTTTTCTTGTTCTAGTCTGGACTTATGTTGTTTTAGTATTTAATAAGACTAAACACACACTGGACCAAACCTACATTTTTTACATTCTCCACAAAGTGGACAGCAATGCCAATCTATATTCCTCTGCTAGGAATACAAAACAGTATTCACAAAATTAAACAAAAAAAGGTAAAAGTACGATCTATGGCTGACGATTAACGAGGGTGTCGTGTGGCCTAGCATAACGAACAGTCTAGTACTCATTGGGAGGACTCAGAGGCGTCCTAAGAATTTCGAATCAAATTCCAGACTTCATTGGTATTTAAACTCAACACCTGTCGCTTCGATGAAGCGTTTTACCCCCCCCCCCCCCCCCCAACGGCCACCACGCCTTATTCATTTGTCTATTAAATTTAAATTTTTAAAATAATTTTAGGCTTTTATGTCTTGGCTTATAAACATTCAAGTGAGAAATGTTCAACTTAATGTCATGTGTAAAATGTAACTAAATAGAATAACTTCTAGAAGGTATAACTACTAGAAGTTATAACTACTAGAAGGTATAACTACTAGAAGGTATAACTACTAGAAGGTATAACTAACTAGAAGGTATCACTACTAGAAGGTATAACTACTAGAAGGTATAACTACTAGAAGGTATAACTACTAGAAGGTATAACTACTAGAAGGTATAACTACTAGAAAGTACATAAACATAGACTAGACACGATCACAGATTCCACATACACAACATTAAGAACTCAAGACATAGTGACATAGTGACAACACTATTGGTCTACAGTTGACAACGACAAAGATTGCTTGAAAACATGATAAACACTTGAACACTGACATGATCATGAAACACAATGTGTACACAAACACAACAGAAACAATAAATAAAATGTTTCCCTTACTCTGGTTAGTACTAGTGGCCGCACTCCCCCCTCCACCAAACAGGGCATTCAAAGCTGCAAGGTTGGACATGTCCACTGGAAATAAAGGGGAGTTACAATTAGGAAGTAGAAATAGAAGACTAGAATGTAAAATAAATATTTAATATATATGAAATAAAGTTTATAGATTGTTACTTTAAATACAACATGTAATTCTACCATATTAACCTTTCAAGACCATAGATCACACAATCGACTATTATCACATAGCTCCTGTTACACAATAAGATATGTTCACAGGCCTTGAGTCATACAATATATGCTGTTGACAGGCTCATGCCATATTATATCAAGAAATGGCAGGCCTCGAGTCATACAATATAAAGTGCTCACAGGCCGTGAGTCAGACAATAAAATGTGCTTACTAGCCATGAATTCCACAATATAATGTGTTCGTATATCTTGAGTCACATAATATAACGTGTTCAGATATCTTGAGTCACACAATATAATGTGTTCAGAGATCTTGAGTCACACAATATAATGTGTTCAGAGATATTGAGTCACACAAAATATTGTGTTCACATGCTTTGAGTGAAAAATTATTGGATTATCAATGTATTTACAATGTAAAAAATTTGTGATTTAGTCCTAGTGACAAATTTTTCATTTAAAAAAGCCTCTTACTTGCAAAAACAAACAGTCTGTTTGACTTTATAATGTTACATTGTTGTATTTAATTTTAACAATTTGTTTTCTTCGCTGCATAAATTAATGTATTTATGTAATTTTACTTTTGTCCAATTGAGAAAATGTGAACACTAGTTATGTTGTCAGTAATTTAAGGACATTATTTTAGCATCTTTACAGTGCTGAACATTGAGGTCGTCTGCTGAAAATGTGCAGCTAAACAATACACCCATATGCTGTGACTCTGCACCAGGAACAAGTCTTCCAGAATTTGTATTTAACAAAGTCCATTTCACTATTGTGATATCATGGAAAAAAATTCAATAAGAGTCTGGTACTGAGAATACTGGCCTTGGCTTTATTTTTATTCAATATGGTCCTTTATTATTTTTTTCTCAGCTCATTAAAAACAGTCTGCTCAGTAAATCATAAATAATATTTCATTCAAAAACTAATTTATATTCATTTATTCAACTGTGTTAATTCGAAGCCCTTGAACCATGGAATTAGGATTAGTAGGCTTACTGAATTGTCAGGTTGAAACAAGGTTTCGATTCAAGGATAGTAGGATTTCCTGTTAACTATGCAAGTTTTAAAAGTCAATTCAACATACATAGAAACATTTCAAAATGATTTTGCTTGTGAGAATTTATCGTTAATTTAATTACTTTGGGTTATTCTAGAATCACACCTACAAATGTTAAACTTCTATAGTACAAACAAGTTTGACCAACGCTATTTCCAAGTTTTAGCTAAGCCCATGTATTAGAAAAATTGTCAAATGAAGCTTTCTTTTACCAAGAGATAAGCTTTTTTTTAAATAAGGAAATTTTTATAATTAAAAAATTGATTTTAAAAAATAACAATCAAAATTGTTTTGACTAAATGAAAACGATTAGTTAGCTTGCTGTTTTGTTTTAGTAAAAAATGTTTTCAAAATGTCCCAAGAACAATTAGTTTTAAAGTGTTTTGGCTTGCAGAATGTATATACCTCCTAAATTTTTATTGAATGCTTTTTGGAGACTCGGAAGTCGAACTGAAATTTGTCAAAGAGAATAATTAAAACAGTTCTGAACTTTCAAACAAATAGAACCTTTGTCTACGTAAATAAAGTATTTAAACACATAAAGATTTACCTAATGAAAAGAACGATTCCCTATAGAGGATAAACATGTTTTTGTAAAACAAAATGAAATGAAAGACAGACATACCTTTAAATAGATAGATAGATAGATAGATAGATAGATAGATAGATAGATAGATAGATAGATAGATAGATAGATAGAAAGATAGATAGATAGATAGATAGATAGATAGATAGATAGATAGATAGATAGATAGATAGATAGATAGATAGATAGATAGATAGATAGTGTATCTTAGAATTAAAATGTACAGTTAAATTTCAATTTAATAAAATAAAAAAAAGATAACTTAGAATAAATGAATAATAAACAATGTTACAAAAAATATTACAGTAAAAAAAAAGATTACAAACATGTGGACAATAAAATTACTTTATATTAAAAAATAAGAAACTTTCTTGTGTCAGCTCTTTAAATTTTTAAGATCAATAAATAAAATTAAGTGTTGGAATATCGTGGATTTTGAAACCATTTAATATACATGTATAAGTCTCAATAGTAGCACATGATAACTAGATTCTGATTTTATTCTAGACTACAAAGTCAATGTGTTTTTCTAGTCAGACTTACGTGCGGGTGTATTGGCTTTCTGACAAGTGAAGGTCGGCGTGCCCCAGTAGCCTGTATCTAAACACGTGACATTAGGATTGGGCTTGTCAGCTTTGTAGCCAGCTCTGAAGAGTAAATGTACAATATGTTGTTGGACCATCAGAAGTGAATTACTTTCTCTGATATTATGTTTAGAATGGATATTGGATAAATGGAGGCGCGGTGACTGAGCGGTAAAGCGCTTAGCTTCCTAACCGTGGGATCCCGGGTTCGAATCCTGGTGAAGACTGGGACTTTTAATTTTCTGATCTTTGGGCGCCTCTGAGTTCACCCAGCTCTAATTGGTACATGATATTAGTTGTGGAAAAGTAAAGACGGTTAATCGTTGTGCTGGCCACATGACACCCTCGATAGATGTAGGCCACAGAAACAGACGACCTTTACATCATCTGCCCTATAGACCACAAGGTCTGAAAGGGGAACTTGACTTTACATTGGATAAATATTAACTTTCTTTGAATTAGAGTCTAATAAAAGGCACAACACAAAATTAACCAGTGTTACGTTCAAAGACTATAGAGCTGTACTCAAATCAAAATTACTTGTATTTATAGTTAACTTTTATCACTCGATACATCAAAAATAGTCGTTTACTGTTTACTTTTTAATTATGGTTGGTCGTTGGCTTGTAGGTCTAAACAGGTAGTACAACTAAATATATAGGCGTATTATATATTTTTAATATAAATTCACTTGAAAAAATTTCTCTGAAGAACAAAAACTAAATGTAACTTTTATTACAAAATGTACAAATTTAACTTGAGATATAGGTCTAATGGTAATGAAATAAAATAATAACTAATATTTAAACAAAATACACCTCCATAAACCTGGAAGTAACAACTTCCTTCATACACCTGAAAGTAACAACTTCCTTCATACACCTGAAAGTAAAAACTTCCTTTATACACCTGAAAGTAACAATTTCCTTCATACACCTGAAACTAACAACCTCCTTCATAAACCTGGAGGTAACAACTTTTTTTAAACAACTGGAAATAACAACTTCCTTTATACACCTGGAATTAAAACCTTTCTTCATACATCTGGAAGTAACAACTTCCTTTATACATCTGGAAGTAAAAACTTCCTACATACACCTGGAAGTAACAACTTCCTTCATACGCCTGAAAGCAACAACTTTCTTCCTACACCTAAATATAACAACTTTCTCATACACCTGAAAGTAACAACCTCCTTCATAAACCTAGAAGTAACAACTTCCTTTATACACCTGGAAGTAATAACCTCCTTCATATACCTGAAAGTAACAACTTCCTTCATACACCTGGAAGTAACAACCAAGTTAATACAACTGAAAGTAACAACTTCATTCATACGCCTGGAAGTAACAACTTCCATCATACACCTGGAAGTAACAACTTCCTTCATACACCTGAAACTAACAACCTCCTTCATAAACCTGGAAGTAACAACTTTTTTTAAACACCTGGAAATAACAACTTCCATAAACCTGGAAGTTAAAACTTTCTTCATAAACCTGGAAGTAACAACTTGTTTTAAACATCTGGAAGTAACCACTTCCTTCATACACCTGGAAGTAACAACTTCCTTCATACACCTGGTAGTAACAACTTCCTTCATACACCTGGAAGTAAAAACCTCTTTCATACACCTGACAGTAAAAACTTCCTTCATACACCTGAAAGTAACAATTTCCTTAATACACCTAGAAGTAACAACCAAGTTAATACAACTGAAAGTAATAACCTCCTTCATACGCCTGAAAGAAACAACTTTCTTCACATGCCTGAAAGAAACAACTTCCTTCATACGCCTGGAAGTAATAACTTCCTTCATACACCTGGAAGTAACAACCAAGTTCATACACCTGAAAGTAAGAACTTACTTCATACACCTAAAAGTAACAACTTCCATCATACACCTGGAAGTAAAAACTTGTTTTAAACATCTGGAAGTAACAACTTCCTTCATACACCTGGAAGTAACAACTTCCTTCATACACCTGGAAGTAACAACCTCTTTCATACACCTAAGTAAAAACTTCCTTCATACACCTGAAAGTAAAAACTTAATTCATACACCTGGAAGTAACAACCTCCTTCATACACCTGGAAGTAACAACCTCCTTCATACGCCTGAAAGAAACAACTTCCTTCATACACCTTTAAGTAAAGACCTCTTTCATACATCTAAGTAAAAACTTCCTTCATACACCTGAAAGTAACAACTTCCTTCATACACCTAGAAGTAACAACTTAATTCATACACCTGGAAGTAACAACCTCCTTCATACACCTGGAAGTAACAACCTCCTTCATACACCTGGAAGTAACAACCAAGTTAATACAACTGAAAGTAACAACTTCCTTCATAAACCTGGAAATAACAACTTCCATCTTACACCTGAAAGTAACAACTTCCATCATACACCTGAAAATAACAACTTCCTTCATACACCTGAAAGTAAAAACTTCCTTCATACACCTGAAAGTTACAACTTCCTTCATAAACCTAGAAGCAACAACTTCCTTCATACACCTGTATGTAACAACCTCCTTCATACTCCTGAAAGAAACAAACTCCTTCATACGCCTGTAAAAAAAAATTTCTTTACATGCCTGAAAGAAACAACTTCCTTCATATTCCTGAAAGTAACAAATTCCTTCTTACACCTGAAAGTAAAAACTTCCTTTATACACCTGAAAGTAACAACTTTCTTAATACACCTGAAAGTAACAACTTCCTTCATACACTTGGAAGTAACAACGTCTTTCATACACCTGAAAGTAACAACTTTCTTTATACACCTAAAAGAAATAACTTTCTTCATACTCCTGGAAGTAACATATTACTTCATACATCTAAAAGTAACAACCAAGTTCATACACCTGGAAAAAAATACCTCCTTCATACACCTGGAAGTAACAACTTCCATCATACACCTGGAAGTAACATATTGTTTTAAACATCTGGAAGTAACAACGTCCTTCATACACCTAAGTAAAAACTTCCTTCATACACCTGAAAGTACCAACTTCATTCATACACCTAGAAGTAACAACTTAATTCATACACCTGGAAGAAACAACTTAGTTCATACGCTTGGAAGTAACAACTTCCTTCATACACCTGGAAGTAACAACCAAGTTAATACAACTGAAAGTAACAACTTCCTTCATAAACCTGGAAAAAACAACTTCCATCTTACACCTGAAAGTAACAACTTCCATCATACACCTGAAAATAACAACTTCCTTCATACAACTGAAAGTAATAACATCTTCTTTTAAACACCTGGAAGTAACAACTTCCTTCATAAACCTGGAAGTAACAACCAAGTTCATACACCTGAAAGTAACAACTTCCTTTATACACCTGAAAGTAACAACCTCCTTCATACTTTTGAAAGTAACAAACTACTTCATACGCCTGTAAAAAACAACTTTCTTCGCATGCATAAAAGAAACAACTTTCTTCATATGCCTGGAATTAACAACTTCCTTCATTCACCTGAAAGTAACAATTTCCTTCATACACCTGAAAGTAACAACTTCCTTCATACACCTAAAAGTAACAACTTTATTCATACACCTGATAGTAATAATTTCCTTTATAAATTTGGAAGTAACAACGTCCTTTATACACCTGGAAGTAACAACCTCTTTCATACACCTGAAAGTAACAACTTCCTTCATACACCTTAAAGTAACAACTTTCTTCATACACCTGGAAGTAACAATTTACTTCCTACATCTGAAAGTAACAACCAAGTTCATACACCTGGAACTAACAACTTACTTCATACATCTGGAAGTAACAACTTCTTTCATACACCTGAAAGTAACAACCTTCTTTATAAACCTGGAAGTAACAACTTCTTTTAAACACCTGGAAGTTTCAACTTCCTTTATACACCTGGAAGTAACATCTTTCTTCATACACCTGGCAGTAACAACTTCCTTTATACACCTGGCAGTAACAACTTCCTTCATACACCTGAAAGTAACAACTAACTTCATACACCTGAAAGTAAAAACTTCCTTTATAAACCTGGAAGTAACAACTTCCTTTATACACCTGGAAGTAACAACTTACTTCATACACCTGGAAGTAACAGCTCCTTTTAAACCGTTTCCGGTCATTTCATCCCCGGTCACTTCATTCCGTGTTATTTTATACCCTGGTCTTTTCTTCCCCTGGTCACTTCATCCCCTTGTTATTTCATCCCCGGTCATTTCATCCCCTGGTCACTTCATCCCCTGGTCATTTCATCCCC